AACCACGTGGACCTGAGCGTCCATTTTGAGGATTCGAGCCCGCACGTATGTGTAGATTAAGTCACCGAATTTTCAGCCTCGTAGCTTATGTGGATCTCGAGATGAAAACAGACACACAGACATACACACACAGACGACCCCTCGACAATATTCGCTTTTGCATTGCATAGCTGCAAAAAACGCATAAAAAATTAGGCAGAGGGATTGGTGCAGGCAGCTCGAGAACATATGAATCATGTGGCGAAAAAAAAACACTTCGAGAAAGCGGGTTATTGTATGCTATCCGCCGGGCAGTTTTAAAAGAAGACGGTAAGTGCGGTGGAAAGATCCGCTCGAATGTCTCTGTGTGGAATTGTAAGGATTGGTAAGGCGCAGGGAGATTGGAGAAGTATCATCTGCTGCACCATTGACGAGAAGAAACGCAACGAAGAAATAGAATGTTATTTTCGCGCTCTTCACTTTTCTGTCTATGCGCGGATTTAAATAGTATAACAGTTTGTGTGTTCGTCTACAGACGTACACGTAATATGCGTGTTAGATATTTCCTGATTCCCATATTGCTTTCAAAACAAGTGCTGTCTTAGCCATTTTTTAAGGTTTTTTTTTTTCACTTAACCGGTAAAAATAATTGGCCAGCGCACGGGCTGCCCGTGCGAAGATGCGTTTTTTGCAGAGTTCCCCGCAGTTTCAATTGGCCAGCGCACGGGCTGCCCGTGCGAAGATGCGTTTTTTGCAGAGTTCCCCGCAGTTTTTGTGTACCGGCATCGGTTTTTTCGGCAGATGCTTCTAGTTGAAAGGATTTCAGACTGGCCGCCAGAACTCTCAGGAAATATCCCCTCAAAATTACAGTCTTCTAGCTTATCACGTTCTCGAATAAGTAACTTACCCGGAAGGAACCTTCACAGACCTGTACGTAGGTACCACGCTTACCCGCGGGCAGGGTTTGAACTCGTTAATACTCACTTGGACAAGGAACACCCCCTAAGATTTCAGCTCTCTAGCTTCACAGATCCCCGAGTTATGGACTTACCCGAAAAAATTTTGGCGGCTCGCAAGCGGGCACCACGCTTACCCGAGGGATGGGTATGGGTGCATTAATATCTAGTTGGACGGAGAACATTCCCCTAAAATTCCAGCTTTCTAGCATCTCAGAAGCCCGAGTTATGGATTTGCGCGGGAAAAATTTTGGGGGGTCCGTACGCAGGTACTACGCTTACTCGGGGGCTGGATTTGAGCTCATTAGCACCTGCTTGGGCGGGGAACATTCCCCTGAAATTTCAGCTTTCTAGCACCTCAGAACCCCGAGTTATGAATTTGCGCGGGAAAAATTTTGGGGGGACTCCGTACGCGGGTACCACGCTTACCCGGGGGCTGGATTTGATTCATTAGTACCTACTTGGACGGGGAACAATCCCTTAAAATTTCAGCTTTCTAGCTTTTGAGATCCCCGAGTTATGAACTTACTCGAAAAAAACTTTAGGGGGCCCGTACGCGGGTACCACGCGGGGTTTGGCGCCAACTTTGGGGATTGGGGCCCGTACGTGCATGTAGATTAAGTCCCCAAAATTTCAGCCCCGTAGCTTTTG